GTTTAGAGGCTGCTGAGGTCAGGGGTGGGTTAATGGGATTATTGAAGTCCCCGAGAATTAGGGATGGAATATTAGAAGAGAGGAAGAAGGGTAACCAGACAGCAAAGTGGTCAGGGAAGAGGAGAGGGGATCCAGGGGGCGATAAATAATGGCAATGTTAGCAAAGAAGGGTTTTGAAAAAACGTATTGAATGAATTTCCAATGATTAAAAAAGAGAGGGAAGGGGAAGGGGATGGCCAGAGGTTTGAAGTAGCAGTGAGGTGAGAGTAGAATCCCTACACCACCAACTTTACATTAAGAGTGTCTTTGGTTGTGGGTAAGTTGAAGGCCACCAAAGGACAAAGATGCAGGGTTAGCAGTGTCAGAGGGGGAGAGCCATGTTTCTGTTAAGGCTAGTAAATCTAGGGAACGAAAGATGAAGAGGTCGTGGACAGCAGTGGATTTCATAATATTGCTAACAGAGCGTGCATTCCAGAGGGCAGTATTGAAGGAGGATTTAGAGGAAGAGTAAAATGAGATGGATATGAGATTGATGTGGTTCCCTGAGTTAGTACGTGGTGGGTTTGCCGAGGTGGGACCAGGCTTTGGAGAGACATCACCAGCTGCTAGGAGCCAAAGGACAGAAAGGAAGAGAAGGTGGGAGTAGGATTTGAAAGTTTTGTAGGAGGATTTGGGAGGAGTTGGTGCAGATAGGCTGGAAAGTTATAAGTAGAGTGCATGGGATGAATAGAGAGGGGAGCAGAGTAAAGTGGAAGCAATGAAGATGGTGTTGCCAGGGACAGGTGAGCAGAATGATAGGGACATTTTAGTGAGAATAAGAGAAGTTAGTGTGAAAGTGAAAAAAAAAAAGAGTGAAAACATTATTTAGAGAAAATGTGTTTTGTTATATAGATATGAAGATTATATATATATACACACACCCCTCCTTCACATATACTATTTCTATATAAGTTTGTTGATTGCAGTCATACTTACATATACTGTTGAGAAAGAACTTCCAAAGAGTGGAATTGGGGTAGGAGTCTCAATATCTTCTAGACTATCGTATGTTGGCGGCAGTAGAACATCACTGACAGAGGGTCCATATGGATAGAGAACTAAAGAGAGAAACATTTTATATAAATCCTGTGTTTTTATGGGATCACGGTGAAAGAGGGAATGTGCGAATAAGTAGCAGATTCTCTGTGGATATGGCTAAGCATCCAGACTAGAATGGCTTTAGGAGGGGTGGGGTTTCTGCATTATTGCTGCTATTTTAGACATGTTTCTACGTTTTCTGTGGGAAAATAATGTAAGTAGTGCACCTCTGCTTGGTTAATACCCAGGGCAGGTGGGACCATGGCTCCAGGCGGCACTCAGACATGGGTGGCCGTCCCTGCCTTTGGCTAACAACAGTTAGAGAAGGTCCTTTCTTCCCCTTTCTTCCCAGATCAACCCCACTGACTGGCTGGGCCGGCTGAGAAAATAAAAAATGTAGTCATTAGGAGGGGGAAGCTGAGCTAGAGTTGGCCAGGGACACATTTCTCACTGAAGTTCCAGCTCTCTGACATTGCTCTCTGCATGTGCCAGAACTTCAGTAGATTACTTTACACTTTGCAGCAGGGCAGTGGGCTGATAGCCAGACATGGAGCGGGAGGGCAGTACAGGAGTCAGGTGCACAGAGCAGCCAGGAGCTAGGCACAAGGTGTCGGGAGTGGACAAGCAGAGGTGAGAATGTGAGGAGCTGAGCTGCTAGGAGACAGTTCAGTCTCCATTCCAGCCAGAAGCCACACCACCAGGAATACCGCAAGGGTAAGTGTCATAATTGGCTACATTGCACATACAGTGTGTTGCACATAGGAAGCCAATCCACAGACACACACTGCATCCCCAGCACACGCACAGACACACTGCATTCGGAGCACACACACACAGGCATGCACTGCATCCCCAGCACATGCACAGACACACTACATCCAGAGCACACAGACACACACTGCATCCCCAGCACACACAGAAACACACTGCATCTGCAGCACACACACACAGGTGTGCACTGCATCAGCAGCACACACACACAGACGCGCACTGCATCTGCAGCACACACACACAGACGCACACTGCATCTGCAGCACACACCCACAGACGCACACTGCATCTGCAGCACACACACACAGAAGCACACTGCATCTGCAGCACACACACTGCATCTGCAGTACACACACACTGCATCTGCAGCATAGGCGTGCGCAGCCTATTGCATTAGGGTGTGCACCCTAAAGCACAAGCACACGCCACGTATATATGTGTATATATATATATATATATATATATATATACACACACACACATACACATATATACACACATACACACACTGCTGTGTGTGTGTGTGTGTGCTGTGTGAGGGTGCTGTTAGTGTGATGTGTGTGTGACAGTGCTGGTAGTTTGCTATGTGGGTGAGGGTGTTTGTGTGTGCGTGCTTGTGAGGATGCTGTTAATGTACTGTGTGTGAGGGTGCTGTTTGTGTGTGTGTGTGTGTGTGTGTGTGCGCTTGTGAGGGTGCTGTTAATGAACTATGTGTGAGGGTGCTGTTTGTGTGTGAGGGTACTGGTAGTGTGCTGTGTGTGTGTTTGTTAGGGTCCTGTTTGTGAGGGTACTGTTAGTGTGCTGTGTGTGTGTGAGGGTGCTGTTTGTGTGCTGTGTGTGTTTGTGAGGGTGCTGTATGTGTGTTGGTGCTGTGTATGTGGGTGCTGTGTATGGGTGCTGTATTTCTGTGGGTGGTGTATGTGTGTGGGTGGTGTATGTGTGTGGTGTATGTGTGTGGGTGGTGTATGTGTGTGGGTGCTGTGTATGTCTGTGGGTGCTGTATGTATGTGGGTGCTGAATGTATGTGGGTGCTGAATGTATGTGGGTGCTGAATGTATGTGGGTGTTGAATGTGTGTGGGTGCTGTATGTGTGTGGGTGCTGTGTATGTCTGTGGGTGCTGTATGTGTGTGGGTGCTGTATGTGTGTGGGTGCTGTATGTGTGTGGGTGCTGTGTGTATGTCTGTGGGTGCTGTGTATGTCTGTGGGTGCTGTATGTGGGTGGGTGCTGTGTATGGGTGCTGTATGTGTGTGGGTGATGTGTATGTCTGTGGGTGCTGTATGTGTGGGTGCTGTGTATGTGTGTGGGTGCTGTGTATGTCTGTGGGTGCTGTATGTGGGTGGGTGCTGTATGTGGGTGGGTGATTGTGGGGGTGGGGGTACATTAATTGCTATCCCCCCTCCCTTCTTACCTTTTGCAGAGAGGGGGGATCGTGCTGCTGATTCTATCCCTGGTGGTCCAGTGGAGAGTGAACTCTAGCCCCCTGTGGGGCTAGAGTTCACTCTCGCGAGATTTGAGTGTTGCCGTGGCAACGCTCATATCTCGCGAGAGGAACCCGGCGGAGCTGCGGCAATAGCTCCGCCGGTCCTCTCCTGCCTCCCTCCCTGCATGTGGGTCAGTGGGGAGGGAGGCTGAGAGCAGAGCCGGCGTTCGGATAGCGCTGGCTCTGCATGAGCCGACAGGGGAGATCCTGAGATCTCCCCTGCCGGTCTCAATATATATAGGCGTGCGCTGGGATTAGGGTGTGCCCAGGCACACCCCGTGCGCACGCCTATGATCTGCAGTACACACACACTGCATCTGCAGTACACACAGACAGATGCACACTGTATCTGCAGCACACACATACAGACGCACACTACATCTGCAGCATACACACACAGGCACACACTGCATCCGCAGCACACACACAGGCACACACTGCAATCCCAGCACACAGATACACAGTGCATCCCCAGCACACACACACACACACACTGCATCAGCAGCACACACACACTGCATCAGCAGCACACACACAGACAAACACTGCATCCGCAGCACACAAACATCTGCAGCACACACACTGCATCCCCAGGACACACCTAGACACACAGTGCATCCCCAGCACACACACACCGGCACACACTGCATCCTCAGCACACACTGCACCCTCCGCACACATTGAATCACCAGCTCTCACACACAGACACACAGCATCCGCAGCACACACACACAAAAACACACACTGCATCCCCTTCACACACACAAAGACACACTGCATCACCAGCACACACTGCATCCCCAGCACACATACAAACTGCATCCGCAGCACACACACACTGCATCCACAGCACACACTCTGACACACATCACTCAAGCACAAACACACATACTCCATCTCCAGCACACACATGCAAACTACATTGTCTGCATACACACTGCATCTAAAATGTCAAGCACTTGGCGGGCGGCGAGGGAGCACTGATCCTCCTGTTCAGCTCCCTCGCGTGCATCGCAGTGATGCTGGAGCCGGAATATGACATCACTCCGGCCACGGCATCACTATGTAGCATGCGAGGGAGCTGACCAGGAGGATCAGTGCTCCCTCTCCAACTGCAATGACCAGCCGGTTTCCCAGCAGCCCCACTGGACCCCAGGGAAAGCGAGAATCGACCCCAGCAACCCTAAAGGTAGGGAGGCTGGGGGGATGGAATTTTTAAATTTGTAAAAAAAAATATTGAGTGTGTTTGTGTGTGTGTGTCTGTTAGTGAGTGTGTGTGTGTCTGTTAGTGAGTGTGTTTGTGTCTGTTAGTGTGTGTGAGTGTTAGTGTGTGTGTGTCTCAGGGAGTGTATTACTGTGTGCATGTCTGTTAGTGTGTGTGTTACTATGTGTGTGTCTGTTAGTGAGTGTGTTAGTGTGTGTCTGTTAGTGTGTATGTTGTCTATTAGTGAGTGTGTATGTTGTCTATTAGTGAGTGTATGTGTAGGTTTGTCTGTCACTGAGTATGTATGTCTGTTAGCTAGTGTATGTGTTTCTGCCAGTGAATGTGTGTGTCTAGGGCAGCACAAAACTAGGATACACCACTGGAGTGGGCAGCATTTTATCCTTGGACCCAGGCAGCACAATGTCTTGGGCCGGCCCTGTAAATACCCTCACATTGCAGGGACTGCATGGCGAATCTGGTGTCACATGTAACTACATACTGCTACTGGCAAACACCCAACTACTGGAAAATACATCTATCTTCATGCTGCTACCGGCAGACACCTAACTACCGGCAGTCACATTTAACTACATACTACTACAGGCAAATACATCTAAATACTGGCATCACATCTAACTACATACTGCTACCGGCAAACACACAACTACCGGCAAATACTTCTAACTTCATACTGCGACCAAAAAACACGCAACTACCAGCAAATACATCTAACTTCATACTGCTACCGGTAGACACCCAAAATTATACTGCTACCGGCAAAGACATCTAAAATTATACTGCTACTGGCAAACACCTAACTACCGGCAGTCATATCTAACTTCATACTGCTACCGGCAAACACCCAACTACCGGCAAATACTTTTAACTTCATACTGCTACCGGCAAACACCTAACTACCGGCAGTCACATTTGACTACATACTACTACAGGCAAATACATCTAACTACCGGCAGTCATATCTAACTACATACTGCTACCGGCAAACACACAACTACCGGCAAATACTTCTAACTTCATACTGTGCCCAAAAAACACCTAACTATCAGCAAATACATCTAACTTCATACTGCTACCGGTAGACACCCAAAATTATACTGCTACCGGCAAAGACATCTAAAATTATACTGCTACTGGCAAACACCTAACTACCGGCAGTCATATCTAACTTCATACTGCTACCGGCAAACACCCAACTACCGGCAAATACTTTTAACTTCATACTGCTACCGGCAAACACCTAACTACCGGCAGTCACATTTGACTACATACTACTACAGGCAAATACATCTAACTACCGGCAGTCATATCTAACTACATACTGCTACCGGCAAACACACAACTACCGGCAAATACTTCTAACTTCATACTGTGCCCAAAAAACACCTAACTATCAGCAAATACATCTTAACTACATACTGCTACCGGCAAACACACAACTACCGGCAAATACTTTTAACTTCATACTGCTACCGGCAAACACCTAACTACCGGCAGTCACATTTGACTACATACTACTACAGGCAAATACATCTAACTACCGGCAGTCATATCTAACTACATACTGCTACCGGCAAACACACAACTACCGGCAAATACTTCTAACTTCATACTGTGCCCAAAAAACACCTAACTATCAGCAAATACATCTAACTACATACTGCTACCGGCAAACACACAACTACCGGCAAATACTTTTAACTTCATACTGCTACCGGCAAACACCTAACTACCGGCAGTCACATTTGACTACATACTACTACAGGCAAATACATCTAACTACCGGCAGTCATATCTAACTACATACTGCTACCGGCAAACACACAACTACCGGCAAATACTTCTAACTTCATACTGTGCCCAAAAAACACCTAACTATCAGCAAATACATCTAACTTCATACTGCTACCGGTAGACACCCAAAATTATACTGCTACCGGCAAAGACATCTAAAATTATACTGCTACTGGCAAACACCTAACTACCGGCAGTCATATCTAACTTCATACTGCTACCGGCAAACACCCAACTACCGGCAAATACTTTTAACTTCATACTGCTACCGGCAAACACCTAACTACCGGCAGTCACATTTGACTACATACTACTACAGGCAAATACATCTCACTACCGGCAGTCATATCTAACTTCATACTGCTACCGGCAAACACCTAACTACCGGCAAATACATCTAACTTCATACTGTGACCGACAAACACCTAACTACCGGCACATACATCTAACTTCATACTGCTACCGGCAAACACCCAATTACCAGCAGTCACATCTAACTACATACAGCTACCGGCAAACACCTAACTACCGGCACATACATCTAACTTCATACAGGGCCGCCACCAGAAACTGTGGGGCACCTAACACAGCCCAAGGTCTGGGCCTCTGGGTGCCTGCCTCCAAGCCTCGCCTCCAAATCCCACCAACAGGAATACACACACAGACACAAAAGGACACAGACATACACACAGAAAGATACACAAATACTGAAACAGACATACACACATACAAGCATACTGACACACACATACTAAAACAGACACACACATATATAAGGAGATACAGATACACACACACATACTGACATACAGAAACACACACACTGATGTACATACATACTCACATACTGATACACACATACATACATACACAGAAATACATACACATACATACATACAGACATACACACACACATACATACTGCCATACACACATACTGACATACACACAAACATACATACTGATAGATATATACATACATACATACACACATACATACTGACATACACACAAAGACATATATACATACTGACCCACACACACATACATATAGATACATACATACACACATACATACTGACATACATACACATACATACATACAGACATACACACACATACAGATATATATATATACATACATACACAGAAACATACAGGCATACACACACATACTGACATACACACACATACATACTGATAGATAGATATATACATACATACACACATACATACTGACATACACACAAAGACATATATACATACTGACATACACACACACATACAGATAGATACATACACACATACAAACTGACATACACACACATACATACATACACATACATACTGATAGATATATTCATGCATACATACACACGTACATACTGACATACACACAAAGACATATATACATACTGATATACACACACATATACAGACAGAAGCATACACACATACATACTGACATACACACACACATACATACTGATAGATATATACATACATACACACACCCACAGACATACATACACACACCCACAGACATACATACACACATACATACTGATAGATATATACATACATACACACACACACAAACATACATACACACACCTCATTTATCAGCCACCCTCCTCTTCCTTACCTTCTCATTGCAGGATGGTGGCTGGGGATGATGGGAGCAGATGCCTCTACTCGGCTGTCTCTCCCCCCGCGCGGAGTAAGCTGGGAGGAAGTGACTGGCCGTCACTTCCTCCCAGCAGCATTTGTGGTGCAGCAGCAATTTTTTTTAAAGAGGCCTAGTCGCGCTGTCACGCGTCCGCAGTGCTGACCGGCTCCTGAAGATATAGGGCCCATCGGGAGGCCCTAAATGCTTGGGCCACCTGATGGGCCCCGGTACAGATGCACCTGCGGCAGTTTCGCTGCTCCACGTGGGGGGTCGGGCCCCCTAGGGCTGCCAGGCCCGTGACAACCATTATGGTTGTCACCCACTGATGGCGGCCCTGACTTTATACTGCTACCGGCAGACACCCAACTACCGGCAAATACATCTAACTTCTTACTGCAACCAGCAAACATCTAACTACCGGCAGTCACATCTAACAACATACTGCGACCGGCAAACACCTAATTACCAGCAGTCACATCTAACTACATTCATCTACCGGCAAACACCCAACTACCAGCAAATACATCTAACTTTATACTGCAACCGGCAGACACCCAACTACCGGCAGTCACATCTAACTACATACTGCTACCGGCAAACACCTAACTACTGGCAAATACATCTAACTTTATACTGCAACCGGCAAACACCTAATTACCGACAGTCACCTCTAACTAAATACTGCTACCGGCAAACACCCAATTTTCCAGCAGTCACATCTAACTACATGCAGCTACCGGCAAACACCTAACTCAGTCCAACATAAAAATATAAATCAAACAAATAAATAAAACATGGAAGAATTGGATATGAAGGCATCTCTTCATCATTCTCACCCACAGAGCTTTAAATAGTGAGATTTTAAAGTGTGATAGGGATTGTTCTAACCTAAAGTAGGGTTTGGATCGATCATCCTTTTGGAGTTTTTTACATAAATGTTCTTGCATCCTTATTCTTCAGTTAAGATGTGACATCATCGTCTGAAGATGGAGAGGGCTCAGCTTTCCCAATAAGGAGATGGTTTGACTATCACTGTTACAGTCTATTACATTTCTATCAGTATGATGGAAAACACAGCTCTCAGTCAGTCATACCAGCAATGGTGTTAAGAATGTCAACGAATTTACCTGAGGATGTGCTTGTTGATGCCGTTTGTCGTATGCTGGGGCCAGCTACAAATAAAATGAAAATAGGAAAAGATAAGATTTTTAAGTTGTTTCTACTCTACTTTAATGAAAAAATACTACGTAAATACTACTTTTTAAGATTTTATGATAAATTTAGCCAGTCCTCCAATGGGCGCTGCACGAATAGATTCAGTTGAAATTAGCTGCTCCGTCCCACCCATTGCACTCTTTGCAAATAAAAACAATAATTTCAGCTGTAAACTCATTGCTCGCTCAGTGACACACACAGAAGGTTACTGTTGTTCTCACCACTAGGGGCATTTCATTCTGTGTGTGAACCACATTATCAGTCTCCAGTATTTCTGAAAGACCCAGTGAGATGTTACCAAGGTAACCGTGAGGTACCAGCAAGGTAACCCTGAGGTATTAGGTAACAGTGAGTGTGGCAAAACCGACCTTGCCACTGGGCATTGGAGAAGACTGATTGCCATCCTCCTGCCATGTGACTATGGCCCCTGGGATGTATTGCCCTTTAAAGACATTATTTGTGCTTATTGGATTTTGAAACACTTTTTCTGTCCCTTTGAATTCATGAGGTGTGCCCCTCCACCGTTTCCTGTCTATTGTTCTCCAGCAGGGCGTTGTCCCAGGGACACTGCCAGACCAGTTGGAACTTGTTGCTATGGTTTAACCCCATGGCGATTTGACTGTGTCTGTTGGTATCTGAGCGCTGTTCGGATATAGTGAGCGCTCAGATCCAAGCTATCTGGGGATAGGTTGAATGCGGGGGTTCTGTGAAGTATAATAGGAATTGTGTATTTTTATGTGTTTTTACTGTTGTTGTGAATAGAGCCATTTTCTGTATGCTGGAGGTAATTGGCTTACTACACCCAAGCCATGCTTGCAGGCAGTCACAAAGGGATTTCCAACTAACTTTTGACCCACTGGACCAATTTGTATGATTTTGACGTATGTTTGTATTTGGAGTATGCTGATTCTGAAAATGTACGTTTTATGTGAATGTGATGTATACTTTTAGAGTTATGAATATTGTGTAAAACTGTGTATTTTCCTGCCTGTGATAATTACATTAGACCATTGTGTTCAGTAATTATATCACAGGCAGAGGGGAGGATTTTGTGTGGGAATGTTTGAGTGTATTGTATGTGTTGATTGGTTGTTCTTCAAAACCCTGTAGGCAGTACTATGTGTGTAGAATGTGAATAAAAGAGGCTGTACGTGCCAGTACAGTCAGTTCTACTTCACCCTCAATTTAGAGTGCTGTCTCTTATTGGGGGAATCTGCTACAAGGGGTTGCTATGCTTGTCATACTCCCTTGCTAAATCACTACTAAGCTCTTGTAAGAGCTTGTTCCTGTCCTGCTCTCTGAAGGAGTCCACCGTGTCGGCTGGAGTGCTTGGAGCCCTCAGGAAGCGCTAGGAGCATCCTTCAATGGAGGTACCCAGTCGGGGTGCCCGTCGATCCGTTACAGTGAGGTATTAGGTAATATTATTATTAATATTGCCATCTATATAGTTCCAACAGATTCTGTAGCGCTTTACAATATTATAAGAGGGGGATTTAACTATAAATAGGACAATTACAAGAAAACTTACAGGAACAATAGGTTGGACCCTGAGGACCCTGCTCAAACGAGCTTACAGTCTATAGGAGGTGGGGTATAAAACACATTAGGACAGGAAATATCAATATAAGGTGAGAGTGAAGCAGAGCTGAAGGAGAGAGTAGAGTGCTGCCCTTTAGGAGACAGCAAGAGACAGGTATGTGAGGTAGCGGTTACTCTGGGAGGCCATAAGCTTTCCTAAAGAGATGGGTTTTAAGGCACATTTTAAATGATTGAAGACTAGGGGAGAGTCTGATGGGGTAGGCAGGCTATTCCATAGGAAGGGAGCCGCCCGCAAGAAGTCCTGCAAGTATGAGTTGGCTGTATGGGTGCGAGCAGCGGACAGGAGAAGGTGGCATACCTCTGGATCAGTGAGGAGATATAAGAGGGGCTAGAATTGGTTAATGCTTTATAGGTATGGGTTAGCATTTTGAATTCACTCCTATAGGATACAGGAAGCCAATGTAAGGCCTGACAGAGGGGAGAGGTGTGAGAGGACCGACTAGAGAGGAAAATCAGTCTGGCAGCAGCATTCATTACAGACTGTAGGGGGGCAAATACCTTACTGTAATAGTGAGGTATTAGCAAGGTAATAGTGAGGTACCAGCTAGGTTAACACTGAGGTTTTAGGTAATAGTGAGGTATTAACATGGTAATAGTGAGGTATTAGGTAATAGGTAATAGTGAGGTACCAGCAAGGTTAACACTGAGATTTTAGGTAATAGTGAGGTATTAACATGGTAATAGTGAGGTATTAACATGGTAATAGTGAGGTATTAGGTAATAGGTAATAGTGAGGTACCAGCAAGGTTAACACTGAGATTTTAGGTAATAGTGAGGTATTAACATGGTAATAGTGAGGTATTAACATGGTAATAGTGAGGTATTAGGTAATAGGTAATAGTGAGGTACCAGCAAGGTTAACACTGAGATTTTAGGTAATAGTGAGGTATTAACATGGTAATAGTGAGGTATTAACATGGTAATAGTGAGGTATTAGGTAATAGGTAATAGTGAGGTACCAGCAAGGTTAACACTGAGATTTTAGGTAATAGTGAGGTATTAACATGGTAACAGTGATGTATTGGGTAACAGTGAGGTAGTAGCAAAGTAATAGTATGGTATTGAGTCAATACATATCTATGAGTAGATGCTGATTTGTGCAGTGATTACCGTACATGCACCCAATCTTCCAAATGCTTCACTATCAGCAAGTGTTGGATTAGCTGAGATAATCAGACCTGAATCTCTGCAGATAGGAAAACACTTTAACGGTAGAACTAAAAAGGTTTTGTATTTCTATGTTAGAGTGTAACCTTAATCCTCAGTAGGAAAGTGAATCTCTTGACGCATTCTTGAAGTAGCACCAACAGTCCAAGTTCTGCCATAATCCCCACTGGAACAGAACGGCGGAATTCGGGGGGTGGGTTCTATGAGGATCAGTCTTTATGAGAGGTTAAGAACAAACGATCAGTAAGATGCATGGAATTAGATTCAGCCACTCACCCAGAACAAGAAGGAAAACCATACAAATTAGATCCATTGTCACTGCAGTACGTACAGGAACACACAGGAATCTGGACCCAGGAAACATTCATGTCAATCTAAAAAAAATCAGAACATTTGCAAATTGTATTAGTAAACATAGATAGCCTAGTGTGTTGGATAACGGATTGCCTTACAGTGTTATCTAATAATTACCAGCAATAAAGTATTAAAAAACGATATAGAGGCAAATGCCCTCGTATTAACTGATATCGACCAAAACGATAATCAGAAGGAATAAGCCATTTCCAAAACACAATTTAAAACCCCCCGTGAGAGGCCTTATCTCATCATATACAGGATTATTCAACCTGCGGCTGGCTGCGCCACTATTAACGCAAATATGCCGCGTTCAGCAGAAACTTTGCCGTAAAATAACGAAATCTCTGATATACTTTATTATTAATTGTCTTATAACACGATGTTAAGCTCCTAAGCGGGCTGGAACAGTCTGATAATGTAAAAAATAATAAAAAAAATAATCAAAAACAAAGATTTTTTTTAAAGGTTTGGTTGTTTAATTTTAATTTGTTTAAAAAGCATGGTATGCAATGTCACTTTAATTGGTACGAATCATTATAAAAAATGGATTGATGATGGAAAGAGAAATCCAATTGAAGCAAACGTTTCTCCTTTTTAATTCAATTTGGACATTGCTTTAGATTACGGCTTTTTATATCAGCAGTAACGAAAAGTCAAACCCTGATCCTGAGATAAAATACTAACTTTTTGTAAGTTACTGTATTGATATAATTATCATCGCAAATTATTTAGCTAGAAAATGGTCCATTTAGCTTAACAGCAGTTTTAACGTACATCCTGCTATCAGTTTTATTTTAACTGTAAAATCCCACAAACTGGCCGGCATTGTACATTCTGATTGAAGACACGTCTGTGTAACTGGTACCATTTTCTCCAATGCAATGAATGATGAAATACTTTATAATAAATGTAACACGTTATTATGGATATCAATAAAGGTTTTCGAATATTTCATATCTTAAAGCGATCTGTCACTTAGACTAGCGCCCCTCCTGACAGATACAAATCCACTTACACAATATCGTCATTGGGGAGGAAGGAGATACACTTACCTTCCTCCTCGTGTCGTCATCAGGTAACTACATCTTCGAATCCAGCCATTTGCTGATGATTTCACAAGTGCTGTGTTTAGGTTATATCTATACCTACCTCAATGGGAATATGGCGATTACCCTTCCATTAAATCCGACAGTCTGCAGGTAACCTTATAATCGTTAATTCGAATATGATGCGAACAGAACAAAAATAAACAAACTATAAACACTGACCGAATACCTGTGTAACAGCGAGCGAATGTTAGCGGATCTCTCCTGCTATTCCTTAATAAATCCTGTGTCTCTGAACCGAGGAGAGATTGATAAATACTGCTTATAGGACTGCTCCTCACAATGGGTGGGATAGATGAGGCGATGGGAGTTTGGGAGTTTTTCTGGAGTTACACGTCTTTCAGGTTACTTCAGAATATTTAAAGGTCACAGAATTGTGTCATTAACACACAGGTGCTTCTAAACCCACCCCTCTATAATTAACACAAACTAATTTACTAAACTTTGTATCAGATGTTCAAAGCTAAATGCCATTGGAAAATGTCATTATCAGATACAACCAATACTCCAATACAACCAGTGCATATAATGCTATATTAGGTTTTTGTAGAAAATGGTACCAGTTACAAAGACGTGTCTTCAATCAGAATGTACAATGCAGCCAGTTTGTGGGATTTTACAGTTAAAATAAAACTGATAGCAGGATGTACGTTAAAACTGCTGTTAAGCTAAATGGACCATTTTCTAGCTAAATAATTTGCGATGATAATTATATCAATACAGTAACTTACAAAAAGTTAGTATTTTATCTCAGGATCAGGGTTTGACATTTCGTTACTGCTGATATAAAAAGCCGTAATCTAAAGCAATGTCCAAATTGAATTAAAAAGGAGAAACTATTGCTTGAATTGGATTTCTCTTTCCATCATCAATCCATTTTTTATAATGATTCGTACCAATTAGTGACATTGCATACCATGCTTTTTAAACAAATTAAAATTAAACAACCAAACCTTTAAAAAAAAATCTTTGTTTTTGATTTAGTTTATTTTATTGACATTATCAGACTGTTCCAGCCCGCTTAGGAGCTTAACATCTTGTTATAAGACAATTAATAATAATGAAAAGATGCTAAATATTGGGTGATGTCTACTCTCATGTGTAATGAGGGAAAAATTAAATAATCAACCTTTTTAAAGACAGCTATTGTTATATAATTGGAAATTCCATTGTTTGCATAACATTGGTTTTCTTGAATCTCCATGGACAATCATGTTAATGACAAGGTCACTAGAGTTATCTGTATTCATTGGTTTACGTTATTAAATACTTATAATAAGCACGTGTTATTTATAATCTTCTTTACCATCTATAACCTTTATTTATTATCTCAATCACTTGTGTATAAATTTACCCTTCAGTTTCCAAAAGTCTAGTTTGTGGAGTTTATTAACAAAAAAGTAAATAGTAAAGAATTGAAGAGAATTTCCATTTTTTTGGCCAAATTATCTGAACACGATAACTGATAACTTTAGTAGTGGAATGTTTCAGTTTTGTGCAAAATCCTCATTCCTGCAGTCAATTCTCAGCAATCCCAGTTTGGTGGAAACCATATATTTTTTCCCCTTTTTCTACTTATTATGCGACAAGGAATTGCTGTCGCACATTAACTGCTTTGTTGTGTAAAGTAGGTTTTAAGAAGTGACAGAGTAAATCTAAACAGAACTGGTGAAACCGGTATCTGACATGCAGACGGTAAACACAGTTCTTCCAGTTAATGCTGGTTTTATTCTGTTTGGGTTATTGTGAGTGTGGCGGAACCAGTCTCGCCACTGGGCATTGGAGAAGACTGATTGCCAGCCTCCTGCCCTGTGACTATGGCCCCATGTTGAAATGCTGGACTTTCCCCTGCAAAGACCCAAAAGCCTGGTCATTCGGTACTTTCCCTATGTGAGCAGTGTTGCCCCAGATAGCTATGCCATTGAGCTCATTCGTATAACTTTGGCTCCATGGCAATTGAACTGTATGTATGTGATCTGAGTGCCATTCAGTATTAATGTGTGCTCAGATCTAAGCTATCTGGGGATATGTTGCATGTACCTGTTTTATGCAATAGATGCACAGTTATATATTTTATTGTATTTTGCTACCATGTGGCTAATGGAGTTTTTCCTCTGTCCTTGGAGATAATTGGATTACTTCCCAATTATCTCCATGATAGAAGACTCTGTGGATCTGGTTTTGGGCAGAAAAACCATGCTTCATTTTGTCAAATAGGACTTTCCCTTAACTTTTTAACCCCTGAACCGATTGCCCTGATTTTTGAGTATGTGTATATTTCAAGCATGCGGATTCTGAAAATGTATGTTTTATGTGAATGGCATGTATATTTTAGAAGTTATTAATATTTTGTAAAAACTGTATTTCTCTGCTTGTAATAATGTTTGTGGATTGTGAATAAAAGAGGCTGTATGTGCCAGTCCAGTCAGTTCTGCTTGACCTCAAAACGAAGTGTCGTCTCGTTATTGGGGGAATTGGATTGTATGCTGATTGCCAGGAGTGTAAGCTGATTGTATGCTTTTCCTATTCAGCTGCTTACAGCATTCAAATGCTTGAGAGCATTCGTATGCTTCTCCGGTTCAGTGGTTGTGGTGTCTGCTGCAGTGCTTGGAGTCCTCAGGAAGCGCTAGGAGAATCCTTCAACGGAGGTACCCAGTCAGGGTGCCAGGTGATCCGTTACAGTGAGATTGTTGTTTTTTTGTTTATTTATTGCTTTGATTCACATACCGATTGTGAATGAATGTTGTATCTGTGAGCAATGTGGAGTACGTGTAGAACTGCACATTACCATTTTTAAAGACACAATATCCACCTGTACAATATTCATTTCTAAAGCCCTCCCTATGTATCAGCATGCACTAAACCTTTATATTATGGAGATCTTTACACACTAGATCAACATGAAAGAATTACTCCATGTTACACAGCCGCTGCAGCCTGCTGTAATGTTTATATTGTGAGGAGTGTCCTGGCACCATCCCCAGATAACGGGGCAAACCGTTTTACAATGTGACCTGTGACCCTGCTGGGTGCTGAGCCTCTGGTAATGGCCGGTGACAACATCCGGCCTTTCCAGAGCTGCAGAAGCCGGATGCTGATCCTTCCATCCACTAATTGGCTGAGAGCATCAGATGACCACTCTCAGCCAATGAATGACCCTCTGTGCATAGAATATGCACAGAATTGACATTAGCCAGTCCCAAACTCTTGTTCCAGGCTGGCTGAAGATGCTGCTGGGGATGGAGTTACACCTCTGTTAGCAAAATAAAATCTCTCTTTGCAGCGTTTCATACTGTGTTTTCTTAATGAAATGCTGCACATACAGATTCCAGCACCATCTTTATCTCTTTTGAACTTAAGTGTGTATCATTATACCTGTCCCAGTGTGTCACTTCCCCCCAGGAACTTATCTTTTTCTCCCCCACAGAACCTGTCTGTCTCTTTTGCCCCTTCCTTAGTACCTTGTCTGTTTTTTTCACCCCTTCCCCAATCCTTCTATGCCTTTGTTTCCCTCTGTCTGTCTCCTTTTCCCATTCCCCAGCCTCTCTGTATCTCTTTGTGTAGCCAAAGCCCCTTTCTGTCTCTTCTGCCCTATCCCCAACCCCTCAGTGTCTCTGTTTTCCCCCTTTCCCCATCTGTCTCCTTTGACCCTCCCCTAGCCCGTCTGTGTCTGTTTGTCTCCACCCAGCCCCTCTGTGCAATGTAACATCTTTTTTCATGTTTTTCTAAAATTCAGATTTATAATCTTGTGGACCAGCCCTGGCAGCCAAGATGGCAGGACTTATTATTTGAGAGTCTGACATAGCTGAGCTTATGTTCGGATTTTACTGCCTAAACTCATGATATTTACAGCCTTGCATGTTGGTAGATTACTGATGAATCAAGTGGGAGCCTTTGGATACAACTTCCGTACGATTCTTATGAGTAATACCGCAGATTGACTGTGCGGCTTAGCGTGGAAGGCTACCTGGTGGCTGAGAGAGGCGGACGATCTCCTGACATGCAGTCCGCTCTGAAATGCAATGCAGCCGATGCTCCGCAACCACCCCTTTCAATATCCACATTCCCGCTGGGGAAACATACCTACGTAGCACAGAAGGATCTCTTCAATTACAGCTACCATCCTGGTTATAGTGCTGGACGTTCTGCTTTGTTTATCCCAGGCTAAGAACCCAGCAGCGACAACGCTTATTTTGCTTTCTGTAATAGCTCAGCCTGTGGCATTCAACCTATATTTCATTTCTCTCCTTTATATCCCAGAGGTATTTTTTTAAGACATGCATTCCTTGACACTCTATGCCTGTTGTATGACCTACACTACCCGTGTTTAGCCATCCCTGTTAGATTAACAATTTTGGAGAATGTCATCCTCTTATATATATTGTAATAGCCTGACGTTCCTTTTATTTTTAAAAAATGAAGCCAATTCCCACAGTAGTTCCTATTAGAACCTTTACTAAAACGGCATCCCGTTTGCATGTGTATTCTTGTCATGACTCCTATTTGATTGTTATGTACCTTAATCTTAATCTCCATAACACAGAGAATGACAGGAAAATAAAATATAATCTTCACTCAAAAGGTAAGTGACTTTTTCTGGTGTAATTCCCTTTAACCTGCGTGAATCTATTATTAGTTTGATTATATTTTATAAAATATATCTGTTACTACTGTATGGTAATCACAAAAATCATTATATATTCCTTTTTTTATATTTTCAATCATTTTTACAGACATTATTGTAAACTGGAATGTCTCCACCCTGTGTTTAGCAATGTTCCGTTAAATACAAGAAAACAAGAAAACTACACACGACATTTAAGATTCAATGTTATATTTTTAGATAAACATTTTATAGTTCTTTATTCTAAGTATTAAAATATTGAAAAAGATCATGTATAAAAAATATCAATATATTAAAAATATATCAAAATAATAGCATTTTTTTTTCAAAATATTAATTCATGTAAAAAGTTTATCTACAAATATTAAGTGGGCCTTAATACAGAGTGATACGTAGTTTCAATGACATAACTGGGAATTTAATCTCCTCATACATTCCTGCTTTGTTTCAAACATCCCTAGGATCACTCGTGGGCCAAGGACTGAAGTCAGTCATATGTAAAATGTGCGGTACCTTGCACCCCTCGTACTCGATATCCCAGGGAATGCTGAATTCTGTCTGTGTCAGGAGCAAAGATGGGGCACAACTCTACCTGTTATTTATGTTTTATTTCCCGGGTGGTGACTATACAGGTAGTAATTTAACCAAATCTCACAATCCTCAGGTGAATAATACCATGCAATACAACACGTGACTTGATGCTATCTGTGCTCCTGTGATGGGACAGAGGTATTAACCCTTCATATGACATTGGAAGAAAGATCCCATTAACACCTAATATAACTAACTGGGAGTAACATCACATTAACCCTTAGTATAACATTGGAAGAAAGATCCCATAAACACCTAATATAACTAAGTGGGAGTAACATCACATTAACCCTTAGTATGACATTGGAAGAAAGATCCCATTAACACCTAATATAACTAACTGAGACTAACATCACATTAACCCTTAGTATGACATTGGAAGAAAGATCCCATTAACACCTAATATAACTAACTGAGACTAACATCATATTAACCCTTAGTATAACATTGGAAGAAAGATCCCATAAACACCTAATATAACTAAGTGGGAGTAACATCATATTAACCCTTCATATGCCATTGAAAGAAAGATCCCATTAACACCTAATATAACTAACTGGGAGTAACATCATATTAACCCTTAGTATGACATTGGAAGAAAGATCCCATTAACACCTAATATAACTAAGACTAACATCACATTAACCCTTAGTATAACATTGGAAGAAAGATCCCATTAACACCTAATATAACTGAGACTAACATCACATTAACCCTTAGTATGACATTGGAAGAAAGATCCCATTAACACCTAATATAACTAACTGAGACTGACATCACATTAACCCTTAGTATGACATTGGAAGAAAGATCCCATAAACACCTAATATAAGTAACTGGGAGTAAAATCATATTAACCCTTAGTATGACATTGGAAGAAAGATCCCATTAACACCTAATATAACTAACTAAGACTAACATCATATTAACCCTTAGTATAACACTGGAAGAAAGATCCCATTAACACCTAATATAACTAACCGGGAGTAACATCATATTAACCCTTAGTGTGACATTGGAAGAAAGATCACTGTAACACCTAATATAACTAACTGGGAGTAACATCACATTAACCCTTAGTATGACATTGGAAGAAAGATCCCATTAACACCTAATATAACTAACTAAGACTAACATCATATTAACCCTTAGTATAACACTGGAAGAAAGATCCCATTAACACCTAATATAACTAACCGGGAGTAACATCATATTAACCCTTAGTGTGACATTGGAAGAAAGATCACTGTAACACCTAATATAACTAACTGGGAGTAACATCACATTAACCCTTAGTATGACATTGGAAGAAAGATCCCATTAACACCTAATATAACTAACTAAGACTAACATCATATTAACCCTTAGTATGCCATTGAAAGAAAGATCCCATTAACACCTAATATAACTAAGACTAACATCATATTAACCCTTAGTATAACATTGGAAGAAAGATCCCATTAACACCTAATATAACTAACTAAGACTAACATCACATTAACCCTTAGTATAACATTGGAAGAAAGATCACTGTAACACCCAATATAACTAACTGAGACTAACATCACATTAACCCTTAGTATGACATTGGAAGAAAGATCCCATTAACACCTAATATAACTAACTGAGACTAACATCATATTAACCCTTAGTATGACATTGGAAGAAAGATCCCATTAACACCTAATATAACTAACTGAGACTAACATCATATTAACCCTTAGTATGCCATTGAAAGAAAGATCCCATAAACACCTAATATAACTAACTGGGAGTAACATCACATTAACCCTTAGTATGACATTGGAAGAAAGATCCCATTAACACCTAATATAACTAACTGGGAGTAACATCATATTAACCCTTAGTATAACATTGGAAGAAAGATCCCATTAACACCTAATATAAGTAACTGGGAGTATCATCAGATTAACCCTTAATATAACATTGGAAGAAAGATCCCATTAACACCTAATATAACTAACTGGGAGTAACATCATATTAACCTTTAGTATGACATTGGAAGAAAGAATCCATTAAAACCTAATATAACTAACAGGGAGTAGCATCATATTAACCCTTAGTATAACATTGGAAAAAAGATCACTGTAACACCTAATATAACTAACTGGGAGTAACATCACATTAACCCTTAGTATAACATTGGAAGAAAGATCACTATAACACCTAATATAACTTACTGGGAGTAACATCATATTAACCTTTAGTATGACATTGGAAGAAAGAATCCATTAAAACCTAATATAACTAACTGGGAGTAGCATCATATTAACCCTTAGTATGACATTGGAAGAAAGATCCCATTAACACCTAATATAACTAACTGAGACTGACATCACATTAACCCTTAGTATGACATTGGAAGAAAGATCCCATTAACACCTAATATAACTAACTGGGAGTAACATCATATTAACCCTTAGTATAACATTGGAAGAAAGATCCCATTAACACCTAATATAAGTAACTGGGAGTATCATCAGATTAACCCTTAGTATAACATTGGAAGAAAGATCCCATAAACACCTAATATAACTAAGTGGGAGTAACATCACATTAACCCTTAGTATGACATTGGAAGAAAGATCCCATTAACACCTAATATAACTAACTGAGACTAACATCACATTAACCCTTCATATGCCATTGAAAGAAAGATCCCATTAACACCTAATATAACTAACTGGGAGTAACATCATATTAACCCTTAGTATGACATTGGAAGAAAGATCCCATTAACACCTAATATAACTAACTAAGACTAACATCATATTAACCCTTAGTATAACACTGGAAGAAAGATCCCATTAACACCTAATATAACTAACCGGGAGTAACATCATATTAACCCTTAGTGTGACATTGGAAGAAAGATCACTGTAACACCTAATATAACTAACTGGGAGTAACATCACATTAACCCTTAGTATGACATTGGAAGAAAGATCCCATTAACACCTAATATAACTAACTAAGACTAACATCATATTAACCCTTAGTATAACACTGGAAGAAAGATCCCATTAACACCTAATATAACTAACCGGGAGTAACATCATATTAACCCTTAGTGTGACATTGGAAGAAAGATCACTGTAACACCTAATATAACTAACTGGGAGTAACATCACATTAACCCTTAGTATGACATTGGAAGAAAGATCCCATTAACACCTAATATAACTAACTAAGACTAACATCATATTAACCCTTAGTATGCCATTGAAAGAAAGATCCCATTAACACCTAATATAACTAAGACTAACATCATATTAACCCTTAGTATAACATTGGAAGAAAGATCCCATTAACACCTAATATAACTAACTAAGACTAACATCACATTAACCCTTAGTATAACATTGGAAGAAAGATCACTGTAACACCCAATATAACTAACTGAGACTAACATCACATTAACCCTTAGTATGACATTGGAAGAAAGATCCCATTAACACCTAATATAACTAACTGAGACTAACATCATATTAACCCTTAGTATGCCATTGAAAGAAAGATCCCATAAACACCTAATATAACTAACTGGGAGTAACATCACATTAACCCTTAGTATGACATTGGAAGAAAGATCCCATTAACACCTAATATAACTAACTGAGACTGACATCACATTAACCCTTAGTATGACATTGGAAGAAAGATCCCATTAACACCTAATATAACTAACTGGGAGTAACATCATATTAACCCTTAGTATAACATTGGAAGAAAGATCCCATTAACACCTAATATAAGTAACTGGGAGTATCATCAGATTAACCCTTAATATAACATTGGAAGAAAGATCCCATTAACACCAAATATAAGTAACTGGGAGTAGCATCATATTAACCCTTAATATAACATTGGAAGAAAGATCCCATTAACACCTAATATAACTAACTGAGACTGACATCACATTAACCCTTAGTATGACATTGGAAGAAAGATCCCATTAACACCTAATATAACTAACTGGGAGTAACATCATATTAACCCTTAGTATAACATTGGAAGAAAGATCCCATTAACACCTAATATAAGTAACTGGGAGTATCATCAGATTAACCCTTAATATAACATTGGAAGAAAGATCCCATTAACACCAAATATAAGTAACTGGGAGTAGCATCATATTAACCCTTAATATAACATTGGAAGAAAGATCCCATTAACACCTAATATAACTAACTGGGAGTAGCATCATATTAACCCTTAGTATGACATTGGAAGAAAGATCACTGTAACACCTAATATAACTAACTGGGAGTAACATCACATTAACCCTTAGTATAACATTGGAAGAAAGATCACTATAACACCTAATATAACTTACTGGGAGTAACATCACATTAACCCTTAGTATAACATTGGAAGAAAAATCCCATTAACACCTAATATAACTAACTAAGACTAACATCACATTAACCCTTAGTATAACATTGGAAGAAAGATCCCATTAACACCTAATATAACTAACTGAGACTAACATCATATTAACCCTTAGTATGACATTGGAAGAAAGATCCCATTAACACCTAATATAACTAAGACTAACATCACATTAACCCTTAGTATGACATTGGAAGAAAGATCCCATTAACACCTAATATAACTAAGACTAACATCACATTAACCCTTAGTATAACATTGGAAGAAAGATCACTGTAACACCTACTATAACTAACTGGGAGTAACATCACATTAATCCTTAGTATAACATTGGAAGAAAGATCCAATTAATACCTAATATAACTAACTGGAAGTAACATGATATTAACCCTTAGTATGACATTGAAAGAAAGATCCAATTAACACCTAATATAACTAGGAGTAACATCATATTAACCCTTAGTATGCCATTGGAAGAAAGATCCCATTAACACCTAATATAACTAACTGGGAGTAACATCATATTAACCCCTAGTATGACATTGGAAGAACGA